TCCTGTATAGATGATAGAAGCCAATTCGATCATCTATAGAGGAGAGGAGAGCAGAAGATTACGCGATCTGAGATGTGCGCGCTCCTTCTGAGGCCCATTTGAGGCGGCGCGACTCCGCCCATCGCGCCAACCGACCGGCTCCCATTTTAACACCCCCCGCCCGTCGTGGGCGGAACTTCGCTGAGTTAATGAATGCTCAGCATGCATAAGGCCTTGCTCAGTCGTTTTTATTTTTCTCTATTCTCCACGATTTCGTTGAATCGAGTTATGAGCTTATGTGGGAAGTACCGTAGAGCGCGTGCCCCGTCCAAATGGGTTCACAAGTGCTCAGTTGTACCTTCCTTTCCAAATTTGATCCGACATGTTTCTTCAGGATATATTGAATTTCGTGGCAGGCAGGGAGACAGACAGACGCGGACGCGTTTATTTAGTAAGGATTTTCGATGTTCCGAATTTTCTGTCGAGGAACTTTCTTGCCAATCTACTGTATTACATGGTCGCGGTTCAATGCAACTTCTCTTCAGGATTGTTTTTTGACTTTAGTGGCTGGCTGGAAAATATGATTCGATGGAACCTGCGTTTATGTTTCTATGTGCTCTTCAGGGCAATTTTGCGGTCAATGCTGAAAAACATCCTGATCAACTCGCTAGTGCCATTCAGTACAGTGGCTTTTGCATTCAATCACAACCGTGCCATCTACGATATTCTCGCAAGGACAATCGTTATTGTTGATTGATTTTATTTGTAAATCTTGCCTTCAGATATTGTACAGTTATCCGTTTTCTTGAGTTCAAAAGGGTTTCGATATTGTTGTGAGGTATTTCAATAAGTCTTCATGAGGTCAATGCATATTGAGTGTTGTCAAATTTTCATTTCTTATTTCAATCCTCCATCCAACTTCTGTCAGTGTATTTGGGGACCGCGATTTCCCAGTTTTAGGACTTTCGTCAAATGGTTTGGAAGAGTGCTTAAAGAAGCGCAGTATTGATACACCGACGCATTCGTTTATGCCTGTTGTAAGGATCCCTACTAGGGACTACACTGAACGGGCGATTTGCTTCGAGTGTGGTACAACACGAGAAATGAATAGTTTATTAGCA